GCGGGATTTATGTTTGGATTTTTAAAACAATTTACTTAGTATTTTTTCTACATTGGTTTTTTTCACGAGAAGGATTTATTAAGTTGGAATTATGGTTTTGTGGAATGATTTAAGACTTGAGTTAGGGAATAAATTATTGATTTTCATAAAAGTATCCGTTAGAGTTGATAGGTTGTTTTCATGACTTGCCGTCTCGGCTAAGTAAGCGAGTCGGGTGTTACAAGTATCACTCCCGGAACTTAGACCACCTAAATGTACGACGGCTAAAGTTGAAGACTGCGAAAAGGCTTCGGTTTTACAATTAGCGGTTTTCTTTGGAGCTTTATACACATTAGCGATTGGAACAGGCGGTACAAAACCGAACATTTCAACAATTGGAGCCGATCAATTCGATCCAAAGGAGAAGACTCATAAACATTCATTCTTCAATTGGTGGATGTTTAGTATCTTTTTTGGAACTCTCTTTGCCACAACTGTTCTTGTATATATTCAAGATAATGTAGGATGGGCATTAGGTTATGGGCTTCCAACAATAGGACTTGCTATTTCCATTGTCATTTTCTTGTTAGGCACTCCGTTTTATCGACATAAACTCCCAACGGGAAGCCCATTTACCAAAATGGCTCGAGTAATTGTGGCTTCATTTCGTAAAGCTCACGTGAATATGTCGCGTGAGCCCACACACTTCCATGAGCTCTCTTCATTGGAATATGAGAGCAAATGTGCATTCCCAGTCCGTCCTACTCCAAGTCTAAGGTAATGAATACTAACTTGGTTCGATTTGGTTCAATCTTTTCGGATTTTGTTTTACATTTAATTAATTCTATACCTAAGTTAGAGAACTTTTTTCGGGGTTTTGGATTCTGATTAAGTTATGTTCATGTACTCACAATTTATATTTCACTTTACTTTGGATTCTGATTAAATTCTGTTATGATAAAAAAATGTAACGATGTGTTGCAGATTCTTAGATAGAGCTTCACTCAAAATCGGACCAACTCATAAATGGAGTCTCTGCACTATCACAGAAATCGAAGAAACAGAACAGATGCTAAGAATGTTACTTGTCCTCTTCATAACATTCGTCCCTGCCATTATGTTTGCTCAAGTCAACACTCTATTCATCAAACAAGGAACCACTCTCAACCGTCGTCTCACCAACAATTTCAGCATCCGGCCTGCAAGTCTCATAGGCTTCACAACGTTCTCAATGCTCGTATCGATAGCGATATATGATCGTATCTTCGTTAAACTCTCAAGAAAACTAACCGGAAATCGAAGAGGCATCACAATGCTTCAAAGAATGAGAATCGGTTTGATCCTTCACATCTTAATCATGATCATCGCATCAATAACCGAACGGTTTAGGCTCAATGTGGCTACTAAACACGGGCTAATCCACCAGACCGCTGTACCGCTTCCCTTGACTATTTTCGTGTTGCTTCTGCAGTTCGTGTTAATGGGTTTGGCTGATGCGTTTTTTGAAGTAGGAAAGCTTGAGTTTTTCTACGATCAAGCACCCGAGAGTATGAAAAGCCTCGAGACATCGTATTTTAGCGCGAGTTTAGCGGTCGGGAATTTCATGAGCAGCTTTTTGCTTTCGACAGTGTCTCGGATAACGAAGAAACGAGAAAGAGGGTGGATTTTAAACAACTTGAATGAGTCGCAATAGGATTACTATTACATGTTCTTTGCGGTTCTTAATTTGATCAACTTCGTCTTCTCCTTGGTCGTGGTTAAGTTTTATGTGTACATGGCCGAGGTTACTGATTCAACAAATGTAGAACAGAAGGAACCAAAGGTGACAGATAACAACAATGAATAAGGATAGAAATTATGTTTCCAATTTGGTTTCGGGATTTACTAAATGTATTGATTAAAACCAACTTGGCAAGGCTTATAATCCACACTTATGAATCATCACACACTGTTTTTTTTTTGTTCTCTACCAGACACAGAAAAAACTAAAGATTGTTCTTGTAATTTCCCCAGATAGATATTACAACATAAGGCAATCAAACTCTAAAAAGACTTGCCTGATTTTCGATAAAGATTTAGTCTCGGTAGTTAAACTTCCTTTTGACAGGCACACGG